ACCAAAATGTGCAGTTGGCAGGAATCCTTCTTGTGACACCAGCATCAGCCTGCCTGGTGTTGCTCCAGTGCACTGCACCCTGAAACTCCTAAATAAGGGCCTTGTACAGGCAACCAGTCAACTAGACGGTCCGCACAAGATGTTCATTAACGGCACTCCATTGAATGGTAGTTGTATCTTACGGAACGCCTGTCTTTTCATCGCTGGTGATAGGCAATTCCGATTCTTTTACCCCTGGTCGCGCAATTTAATTCACTTCGACAGTCCCGGGGATCATCTACAGGCCAACGCCCTAACGGCTACAGGAGACTCATTTGTCAAAGGACATGGAAGCCCGGAGGTTGCTACTCTTGGTTCAATGCCAAAGTTCACCCCTCGCGGAAACTAACCAACTCACACGTGCAACCACGATATTTACGTAAACAATATATTCATACCACATCGGCCGTCGCGTGGTGACATCAGCCTGGTGGCTTTACTCGCTGCATGCGGCAGCGAGAGCAACCGAAAAGAGGCTATTGAAGAGGTCTCCGTTGCCTCTCTTTCACATATTTTACTTCCTCCATTCCTCACCGCATGAATAACTCTATCACTGTAGGCCAAGCACTTAGAAAACATGACTTGCTTCGTTTTGCATTAGCCTTGCGTGCGGCGTCTGCTCACCACAAGGCGCTGATATCCTCATTTATCTCAAGATAAGTTTCGAAAACTTGACGAACAGTCTATTTGGCTACCATCAGTGTCCACAATTAAGCAAGTAGGACAGCAGGTAGCTCTCCCTCTCGTACAATGTCTGTAATAATGCTGATTTCTTCAGCTTAGATCTGTCTGAACCTCACAAACTAGCGTTCACGTCAAAGCGACTATCAAAGATGCAAAAGGTATATTAACGCTCAAAACTGGGCCAAGAACACTTGCACGACGTGTCACATATTTAGTGTAAGCGACGTCTGCCGGGAAATTCTGACGCCTTCCGGATACAGCACTAGTGACCGGTATTCGGCCGATAGTAGGCCATCATTGGCTGTTGGGTCCAGACGTCTGATTAATTAGATCTTGGCTTGACGCCGGACCGGCCAGCAGCACTTCGTGAGGGATTGGATTCTCGGTCGTGGTAGCGCCTGACTGTGAACGATAAGGCGGGGTGCGTGCGGAATTCCACCTAACAGAGTCGCTTCCATTACTTTTTCAGGGCTGTGTAAGGCATAAATATACACCAGGGCAACTAAGAGACCAACAGTTCTGGATATTAGACGAATTAATCAGAATAGGCCTCTGGAATCTCGTGCACGTGCTCCATCATCAGATGTGAATTCATACTGGGACTGCAACCTATTTCCATAGAACTGGGAATTTTGTCTGTGGCGCGGCACCCCCAGACGGGTTGAAGAACTGGATATCAGTCTGAATGGTGGCACTGCTTAGGTCCTGGCTAAAAATACCCCAGCCGATCCCGAACAGAACATGAGGCTGGGAATTATCGGGCGTCAAGTGAAAGCAAACTTGCGAACCTGAAGCCTGATGGATACAGGAAGCCAAGGAAATGGAGGAAGTCTAAAAAACCAAAGAGTATTTCACCTGTTCCCGGTGACCGGTAACGACTGTGAGAAAAACTATCAAGGATCCAAAGGAGTGATCATTTTGAATAAAGCAGAGCGCCTGAGCCGTGGACGGAATTCTTCGGAAAACAATTGTCATGATTATCAACTGCTGCCCATGCGGAGCCCACAGTTAACGTTGAGCCATGGACAGTGAACTTGAACCTATCTGATACTCGAATTTTGATGGTTGCATATGTTCTTCCAAGCGCCACCGAGCCTACAGGCCGGATGATATCCCAACCGCATTGAATAAGATGGGGATTAAGTCTACTTGTCTGAGCTGTTTGGTTGCATTTTGGAAGAGGAGTCTCTCCCAGACAACTGGGGAGGGTCGGTGATAATGCCTATTAGCAAAAAAGGAATTCGGAGTGAGAGTGGTGATCACAGAGGTTCAGCTTGACCCAGGTAGTAAAGAGACTGTCGGCATCACTGATGATCCGTCACCTCCGGTTGCTCGTGAGACGCTGAGCAGCGGGTGGGGGTTGCGTTGACCTAACCTTCGCACTCCGTCAGGTGCTAAACCAACACCATACGTATAAGCAACCATCAGTTGCGGTATTCTGTAAGTTAGAAGGCGCATTCGACCCGGTTGAAGAGTCTTTTTCTTTGACACGCTTGCCCACCAAGGAATGCCTTGAAGGTGCGTAAAAATAATGCTTCCTCTGTTTTCCCAGACATTCAGACGTGTGAGCGTGTAGAGAGTGTCCTTTAAAAGCTTCCGAAGACAAAACAGTGTCTGTCAGGGATGCCCACTCTTTCGGTCCCCATTTAATTTTCTGATTGAAACCGAAAACTTCCAAAAAAACGGTGTTCAAATAGCCCGTGGCGGAAATCTTATCGAAGAGGAATATGCAGATGACACCACACTCGTCTTCGGAGAAGAGAAGAAAGCGCATGTATGCACATTTCACTCACAAAGTGTAAAGTCATGCTCTTGAACAGTCAGTCACTGAATACGCCACTCACAATTCAGGGAAGGGCGCTACCAGTCGTGGAGCGCTGTATTCATCTTGGAAATCGTATTAGTTCTGATTGTAATATGACCGATGAATTCAGTGCACGAGTCTGCAAGGCCCATATTGCGTTTGCTAATTTGAGACACCTACGTCGTCAAAGTGGTTTACCCCAGAACGGACATGTGTAACAGGCTACAGTGCGGGTTGTTTTTTGTATTAAATTGAGACTGCCTGTTTGCGCAGCAGAACTGATGCATCCTTAGGTGTCCGACAGTTGTCCGAGAACCACGGTTCATGTGGATTGGTGCCAGCGAATCCGTACCAAATCAATTAGAAAGCGAGCTTTTGATCGTGCAACGGGTACTTGGATTGAAGAATATGTCAGCCACCAGATGCTGCGTTGATTGAAACATATTTGACGTGTGACGAAACATTGTTTGCCGAAGAGTGCGTTTTTTTCCATGTCAAATCCGTGTGACTGAAGCTGAGGAGTGGCCAACACTTGACCTGGCAGCAAGTGCCTTTTGAGCAACACTAGTCTCTTTTTAAAAGCATTTTGACCGTACTGAATAATGCACCGGCAGTCACGGTCAATCGTTGTGTGATCGGCGTGTGCAGTATATAGGGTCAAATTTAATCAACCCCACCTTCCTGAAAGGTAGATGGTAGGCAGCATGGCCACCGGTTGTCCGAAGGAAATATTTTACTACCTTCACACTCTTATCGCAGAGGACAGTTCGACTTTACTAGCTGCCCTTTGTCTGATTACTTCCCTTTGTCCTCCATGGTTGTACTCGTGGACGAAGCTGCAGCTAGTGTAGCCCGTGTGGTCACCACATGAATCACGATCGACCATGTCAATTTGGTGGCTTTGGGTCGGGCCAGACCCGACAAATGCTTCGAAAACACCAATGGTTAAGCACTAACATCTTTCGCATGTTCCTTTTGCCGCGTCTGTGACCCATAAGACAGCGTGAATTGAGCTGCCACTGTGAACTATGCAATTGACAAACAAACTGACGTCAGGTCAACCGCATGGGATCGGAGGTTGGCAAAGGCTGTCCTAGGCTTCTTGACTCAAAAAGTCATCTCATCCCAGATAATCCACCGAAACCCATACAATCGCCCAGGTAGAGAAATCTACCCGCTACGTTGATTGGCTCGCCTACAAGGTAAGGTTTGGGTTTGATCCCACCTATTTTGCTGGCAGCACTTTACACCTTGCGAGTGTGAAGCGCACCACAGACTGTGCAACAGGGTTATCTAAGTTGCTTAAAAAGGCTAGCACTTTTGAAGAAAAACATTGTCCACCGAAAACTCCTGTGATCGAACGTCCTGTGAGCATTTTGGAGTCGATATTCCATAGACGTGCTGTGAAATTTCTAAAAACAAATCACTGACGAAGTTGAAGTGAGAAGGCGAGAGGGAAAAGCGTTTTTCTTACACCACCTGAGGGGTTAAATCCCAGCGAGATCTCCCTTACGCTCACATCATCGTCATCAGACAGTACCATCGGTGTTCACGCTTATTCGTTCACATAAAGACCTCCATAAGGGATACCAAATTGGAAGGGGCACCTTTGATCACCAGACACCGTCAAAGTTTTCAACGATCGACGGAGTGGAAAGCTGCTTCCACATCATGAAAAACAACCTATGTGAGAAAGGCGCTGTCCAAGATTTTGCCTCAATTAAAAGAAGTGGTTGATGCATCTTCGGACAGGTCGAAACCCAGCTTGATTCTCACGAACCCTTATATCTCGATAATCGATCGACCCGCTGGAAATGATACTTTGAAGTATCTTGCATGAGACGGCGCCATGTGCGGCAGCGAAACCTCCATGCAGAAGAATCCTGTCATGCTCTCAGTGATGATGATGGTGGTGCCGATGATGAAGATGGTGATGACGGTGGTTGTGTTCATGATGATAATTATGATGATCATAATGATGATGACGATGGTGCTGCTGCTGCATTCGACGATGACGGACACCAGACCAACGTATGATGTTCTTGTGCTCTTCATGAAAACTGAAGTGAGGGTCGACGAGCTCCATTTCCGTTCCGAATCTTCTGCTCCAGATTTGTCCAAATGCTCACCAGGACCTCCCCACCTTCTTTAACGAGCGCAGGGTTGGTGCCTTGTCGCATCGGAGGACTAATATCATGCAGTAGAGACTTGGCTATATCGGGATGTTAGAGGGCAGTAGCCCTGGTTTTCAACTTTGTGGAGGCCGAGTGCCAACACACGGTGAGCCCGTTTTACTATTTTAAGTTGTTCGCTCTCCAGGCGCTACATCGTCGCAAAACATAGTGGTCCGCCGGGAGTAGTTAACGTACCACTAAAGCCCAACAGATCTCCAGGATATGATGGTCCGAATGCGTTGTTCATCGATATGATGGCTTACATCTTCGCTTTTTTGTGCACTGTCGTGCTCTGGCGGCTACTTTCCAAGGGAACGGGTGGTGAGTAATAACGAAGAGTAAAGTAGGTTTGCGCGCAGGAGGGAGGAAGTAAACCATCCGTTGACTACCAGCGGGTCGGCCTGATCTGTTTGCCGTTGAAGGCCGTGTGGGAAATCTTTGACCGTCAAATCTCGGAGCAGTCTGTTTGCCTGATTGTCCCGGTCATATGTCTGAGTGTATTTTGCAGAAGTCGCTCGTGTCTCATGAAATTGTGTTCTTTTCTGGGGTGCCGGAGCATATGGAACGGAGAGGAGCTGTGGTGTGTCAGCCGCATTTGAGCTAAATTCGTAAACTAGAGGAGCCCGCAAAATGGGCAAAGGCACGGGACCTCTCCTCAAATATGGCCGAACTCTACCCTCTAAGACCAGGTTTCGCCCCCCAAAGTTCATGAGGTCGCATCTGGAGTCCATATCATTGACCGAGCATAAGAAACTTAAGAGTTTGGTGTTGCTGTTGTTCGTGGTGACTACAAGGCGAAGAACCAGTGGAAAGCCACGGTGAAAAAGTTTGGAGAGTGCTCTGTCAGCTACCCAGACCTGAAATTTTGTGAGTTTGTGCGCTCGCACCTACCGTGTTTTGTGGTAATCCGGCCTCGTGTCTTGAAGGACAACATGAATTGTCTGGAAATAGTTCAGTGCGTGGTGGCTGACAAAATCACGGGGACGAGTATCAGTGCATTTAACCTCTACTACCCTGAAAGCAGAGAGTTAAGAGAGGACCTGGCCGAAACTTCCAAGGTCCACCGGGAGTTCTGGGGCAGCAAACGACTTGACTTATATAGGTTCCTTGAACAGTGCACTGAGTGGACAACCATAGATTTTTTCAAGAGACGTGCCCAAGCCGAGATAGGGGCAGTCGAAAAACCGTGTCTGATTCGAACCACGGACTGCTTGTCCAGAAATTTCACTCATTAACCGCCGAGCTATCTCGGGTTCTTAGGACAAGCACAGATAACACAGAAAGTCCAAGCTTCTCTCGGAGGTCCGTGATTGCCTGAAGCAGGCCTTTGCCTTCAGTGTTTAAACCTTACTGAGATGAAGTTTGGGATTAGGAAGAGAACGCCGTCACGAAAAGACTGGGCCAAACTGAGTTGTGGCGGTTTGTGTACCTAGGTGGCCAACTGAGCTAAACTGAGGTTTGCGTCCGCGTGACACTCAGAGTCTCTCATGCCAGGTCGGTCAATTGGTAGAGGTCTAATGGACTGTTGTGGCTTGCTGAGCGACCGGCCAACTTTCTGTCGGTCCTTGGCTTCACGCTCCGCCCACTATGGTATATCAAAAGGGAGCAAGAAGCGTTGAGCTAAAGATGCCCGATCCAGATTGGCTAGCATACCGACCAATCAGGGCACGCCTTCGTTGGGTCCGTAGCCCCATGTGACAACCGTCTATTTGGTATTCGGTTATCAGTCGTGGCTGGCCTCCGGACACCTCTCCCGTTAGAAGGCTGTTCAACCGACTGCTACTTTGAAATCCACTGTGACAATCCATGGAAGTGTTGTCGCAAGTCGGTCCGTCCCGGGAGCGGTGAGCATACCGATGTGGTATCTGGATCTCAGCTGGTACCTTCCACTCCGGAGGTATGTCACGACTCTCCGGTATCCCGTTCGACGTGGTCCCCTACCAGAGCCGCATTCTGCTGTCCCCAGGTGATCTCCCTGATATGACCATGCCTACGGTCTGATTTGCGGCTCGTGTAATAGTATTCGACCTTGCGTCCACCGTGGAGAGCATTTCTCATATCCTCGAATCACTATCTGGCCTCTGTGTGAACTTTGTGGCGTCCTTTCTGCCGAACCTGCTTCCTTGGTTTTCTGGATAGCAGTAGAACGAACCGCATGAACCTGAAACTGTAAACTGAAGGGTTCGGACCGCGGATGAAACGCTGCAGGCTGCTGGCAGGGTTCACCAAATTGGACATTCGCTTCCTCCCAGGCCCTCGCAAATTAGCAAGAAGCATGCCAATTCACTACTTTCGAAGAGAGAATTTGTCAACAGTATCGATCGGAGCTAGCCCAACAACCCTCAAAGATGGGGTCCCCGTGCCACCTGTGCTTGGTTGAAGACATTGCGAGAAATGGCGGCTAATCGACGCCATTGGCTTTCGTGCTGTCAACTTCTTTCCAGATTGTCTGATTGAGTGCTTGGGGGTGTAGACACCTCAGAATGCTTTACATAGGCCAGCGCTAGGCCCCCTCCCTCACCCTGTCTTTCTCCTCTTACTCCAGGGCTTTAAATATGATCAAGTGAACCTTATGGTTGTGCGGCGGTGAAGCGTCCGCGTCAACACTGATTTCGCTGTGTTTCATGATGGTGATGATGATATTTCTGTTGTTGATGACTGGCTGGTATCGATGTTCCACTCAGGCCCGCTGGGTTCTTCCAGCGATTGTGTTAAGGGAGATCAGCTGATCTGTTCCTTGAAGTGTTCAACCCATCGCTCAAGACGACGATTTTGTGACGACCTGCGTGCCCCATCACAGTCGCTAGTTATTGGTACGCCTTTTCTAACAGCAATAAGATCTGCCGTTCTCGACGATATTCGCTGTTCATTTAGTGGAGCTAGATGACCTGAATAAACAGTTCCGAAAGCTGGGGGCGATCCGTCGAATTGGGACTGGGTGGCCCGGACGGGGTGTAGATATCGGCACCTGTCGAAAGTGAAAATAGAATGGTGACGTAGTTACTATGAATTCATGGCAACTTCCGGTACACTACTCCTTTGCAAATGTTGTTTTACGTCCGCATCTTGTCTTTCTTCCCAACAGGCCACTTGATTCTTATTTCGGAAGTCTGTTTTCATAATAATCACGCACCAGCAGCACGCGGTCACCCTTGGACGTTTGTTTGTATCTTTCCCGGATGCTTAGTTTTGCTTTCCGTGTCCAACGTGGTATTTTGGTTGCTTCTCATAAAAAGGTTAGTTCCACGTAATCCCGGTTTGTTTCATTGATACAGTATTCCATCAACGTTCGTTGGTGGCCCAACCTTCAGAATCCATGGGAGGAGGCGTCCAGAAGTCAAAGCTCAAAACTTCAAGTTCCGAAAGTACCGTTTGACATTTCAAAGGATGATTTCGAATGGGTGAGGAAAGTCATAACCATAAATGATATCCCACTCCCAAACGAGAACATCAATTCGGCCACCCCAAGTGGATGGGTGCCTCCTAATCGTAAGTTAGTCCTGCTTCTGTTTGCTGCATAAACCCGATAGCACCGAAGTGAGCTGCAGACGGGAGGTGCGGCTGACGTTTTGATTACTTCTCACTGAACATCAGGCCTCGTGCTTCGAAGTATTCTTGCAAGCTATGCAGCGTCACAATCGTGCGTCGGTTGCCCGGTTGTAAGGTTCACTTTTGAAAACAACCTATTCCAAACTTCTGCAAACGGTGAGGTGGAATTAAGGCCGAGAAATAATGACAACTTTTCTATTAGTGCCAGGTATCACTTAGCGGATCCCACGGGGGAAATTAGGGCTTAAAGTTTTAGGGAAGCGATAGATTGCCTTTGGTACATGCACCAATCCGTAGCCTGAATGCAGTGCAATGAACAGAATGTAGCGTCGCCCAAGTTCAACGGTGTTGATTTGAACAAAGGGCTGGTTGGTTCCTCCGTCAACTTTCCATTGGTGGACCTCGTTCTCCTGTAAGCACTGTATATTTTGAGACTACCGTTATTCTTGTTGTTGTCCAGATCGAAATCAACAGATTGCTATGGGACGAGTCGATAGTAGTACCAACTTTCAAAAAGGGCATTCGCAGTGAGTGACAGTCACAAGGACTTACCTTGTCACCCGTTGTGACTAGACTCTGCATTGTCTATTTTACGTCGTCTTACGAAGGCGCCGTGATCCAAGAACGGCGGTCAGGATTCCGGCCGGGAAGGGGCTGTGTGGACCACATCCCAGTACTTCTACAAGTGTTAGAACAATCTCGGTGTCCTCTGACTCCAATAGTGCCTGATTCCGTAGACCGGTCAATTGGTAATTGACCAGGTGGCTGTTGATCTGTTCGCCGAGCTTGGCAATTGATTTGGAAATGTTTCGTCACCAGTGCGCCAAGCTCGGCGAACAGACCAACAGCCACCTGATCAATTACCAACTAGTGCACCCGAGCTACCAATATTCCAAAAAATCGCCAGACCGGTTGATTCCTTTCAACACGCTTGCGCAACAGTGTGCCCGAGATTTTCGAGAATTTCATGCGTTGTTTGTATTCACGTACTTTTTGGCGCGTGTCAATGTATGGGGAGCTATCCAGACGTTTTCCTGCAAGCAGTGGTGTACGACTGAAATGTCAACCTTCTCCGTTTTTGTTTACTTTCTTCATTGGTTAGGTGTTAGAGCCAATAGTGAGAGGCCTCCAAAACCCCGGTATTCAGATCTTTCCGAGCTAAAGCCTTGTCGATCTGAAAGGTGCAGATGACATTGTTTTCATTTTTGAAAAAGGGTGGGAAGCGCAAACATTGCTTTAAATTTAACCGAGGTCATCCAATCCTTCGGCATGTACTTCGCGCCCACAAAGCGCCAAGTCATGTTGTGGGACATACAGTCTTCGAGCATGCGTGTCGAAATTCAAGGCGTGACAATGGGGGTCGTGGAACACTATACGGATCTCGGAGGTTGCATTATCTCTGACAGTAGTGTGAGAAACAAAGTGAACGCACCTAATTAGAAGGTCAGACAGATATTTCACTGGGTCTAAGTGGATGCGTTTATCAGACTACAGTGAGGGCTGTTATGTTTTGCGGCCGCTAGACTTGACAAATTAGGGCAGATTGAGAAATCCTCAGATATTTGACCACCGATGTCTGAAAACCATCAAATTTGCACTATACCTCAATGGGCGGAACAGCCAGTCAAAGACCAACAGAGGAGTTGCACCACTGTCAGCAGTACACAACATATGCTGATGCTGTAGGACTTTCGCCGATCCCAGCAAACGATTCGTTACCGCCCTCGTACGTCCATAACGTGTGGTTCTTCCGTCTGTCCGTCATGCTTTTGTGAGTAAGAGCCCCATTTATCATCTAAGCATCGTAAGCGAGGAGGTGGACAGGAAAATCGAATTAGTGGTCCGGATGTGCGTCACATCGTTTGTGGTAGAAGCGGCTCGCTCATGATAAAGAAACCTCTGAGCTTGTCAGATATCTGTCTGTCCCAACAGATCCCTTTCACTCTGCAATGTGCCAAATTAAGCAAGCTACTAGCAACAGGATTTGGAGATAAAAACGAAAGGGTCTCCTGTTGCGATTGAATGTATGGAAATCCCTAATATGAAGACCCAATCGTTTGGGAAAACTGAATGGTGCACCATATTGTCCACGTAAATTTTTTCTCGGGACTTGCGTTCAAGGCACGGCTCTGTGAAACATCTGTCCTGCTGTCGAATTTCCGTGTCGTCAGCTTAACACATTTCACCACAGGCGTCTTCAGTTAACCAGTACGGTCTATGGCTTTTAGTGCGCAGCCGCTCCACCTCGTATATGATTAACGCAAGTTCTGATCTAGCTGGCGATGATGTTGATACTTCGCAGCAGTTTATCTCAGTCAGTCATTTTGACAATGATGCATCCGGACGGACAGCGTATTCAATTTGATAACTGGACATTTTGTCGCGCATGAAGTACATTCATAGATACCAGGAGCGCGGCTGAACCCGGAATTCGGAATTAGGGTAATCTCCCACTCGGTCTTTCAACTACGAAACTGCTGTAATTATATTGAGGGTGACGGTATTGTAGAAACATGTTTCCTCCACTGTTGTATGTAACCTCAATAGTTATGGGTTATTACATCTTGTGACTGTTCCGTGATCTACAAAACCCGATGTTACACATTGGAAGAGAAGTCTGCTGATGGGATTGCCGGACAAGATCATACTATTCTTCAAGATCATGTGCTGTCCATCGTCAGCCAAGCGATGTGTGGCTGAATAAATGGAGATGAGGAATGAACGGCTCTATACCTAAACGCAGGTGCATATATATTAATCCTATATCTGCAAAGGGCTTTCAGAAAAAGCTATGAGGGCGGCCTTTGCTGCCTTAGGCGCTTGGAAAGACATTGCTTCGGGTTTTCCACCCAATGCGTTCACAACAACGCACCACCATGTGTAATGGATATGCGGAGTGGCTTGATGAATCAGCTGGGTCCGTTTTAGCCCAAAACTGCTCGTAAGTGATAACACTACCCGGTTGATCGTTACCTCTTACGTTAGTCGATAATACCTCGCCCACTCTCTGTTGGTATTACAGACAATCCTAGCGTGATGCCGAAGATGACGGCCTCACATCTGTTCCGTCAGGGAGTTGCGTTCGGTTAACCATATACCGAGTAGTAGTTTAATATCATCCACCTGTTTACTATCGTTACATTTGAAATACCCGTTAAAAACGCGTATTTTCCAGACTATTTAAATATCGGCGTTTTCATGGCCATATGTACTGGCGAGACTGTACATCCGTGCCGTATTGCCTGTAATTGTTTACTCATTTGTGTATCTTATTGTTTCAGCCGAAATTTCCAAGAACTACAGCTACTCTGTTCGGCGATCCAAGAACCATATGCTCCCAGTTTACTACAAGCAAAAGGAACGGAAAAAGGCAGAACGTTCTCATGGCACACGCAACCTGACAATCATTAGACATATCGATGGTGATATGTGGGTAAGTTTGCCAGTCGTCTCAAACACGCTTGTCAAGCGGTGCCATCGAATATAGGCCAAGCAAACAGGGTTCAAGATCCTGCCGAGTCTGATACCTTCTAGTTCCTCCTAAGTTGGCTTGGATAACTTAACAATTTGTTGCCTTTCGCGTTCATACAGGTAGGACGATGATCCATCCACTGTATTGAAGCCCGTTATTCCCCGTAATATCTTTCTAGTAAAAGTGGGGAGAAAGGACTTTGACACACTTATAATACAGTGATTTTATGACTCGACCATTGGAGTGGCTGTTGAATGATCAGAAGCGTTTTTTCTCTGTATGGAAACCACCCTAATTAACTAGGTGTCGAAAATTGTTCCCAGTAGTTCTCCACTAATCCAAGGACGAGTTTTAGGTCATTCTTGACTGCGGACTGATTAAAATTCACATAAGTGGGACCTTTAAATACCCCGAGATTGTTCACTCTGAAGTGTTTGCAAAACGTACGCAACATCCCATACTTATCCACTGGGATATGCAAGCGGAATCTTCCCTTTTAAGGAAGGGGCCCTTAGTCCTCAGGATCGACCAAATCTCCAATAGTGCATGGCTAATAACTCTGTTACACTTGTTTGCACGTTATACCATTATCTGTTTTATTGTCTAAAATACATTGGGCAGTAAGCACGGTGTGCTCACTTAATCGAAAGAAGTGTGGCTGTTCCGGCGGTCGTAGATTCAGTCTACTGCCCCCGTCTTCCATTCTCTTGGGGCCGTTTGACAGGACGTCCGCAGATACATCATCGTATAACGCGCCTTGTTTGCTAAAGTGGCAAACTGCTGTTGCTATACAAGCGCAGTACCCGACAGTACGAGAAATAGCTTCCACTGCACCGGTGGAATGCAGCGTCGGGATACCGGGCTGCACAAAGCTAGTCTGAATCATCCTTCCGCGCGTGGACGACCGCAGCAGTATTTGCCACCGTACTACAGCTACCCCATCTGCCCATGACCCTTGTCGGATTTCTTTTTTGTGGCCTACACATGCATTGCGCGTCCGTTGTCCGATCTGTGAGCTAATTACTTTGGGGGCGAGATGGCCCAAGTGGTTAGAGCGCGAATTTACTGGCCGGAAGGTCCGTGGTTCGAATCCGACCTCCGCCACTCGACTTCCCCTGTCTAGGCTTGGGCAACCTGGCAGTATCCCAGCCCTCGTGCTTCCTTCGGGTGGCATGGCAGCTAGGCACCGGGAGGGGGCTACAGCTGAACGCAGTCATCCTGAGTTTGACCTTAACCTGGCTAACTCCAATTACCTTTTACTCACACGTAAAATTACCGGTGGACCCAACGATCGAAACTCGTCACAACAGCTTTACGTTCTACCATATCGCAAAAGGTTCTAGTGACAATGTGAAAGGGTTAGCTATTCCAGAAAGAGAGTGTGGAGTTTAGGTCTGTCCGGATGACACTGCTCACTCTCTCCGTTAACCTTTTTATCGGATCTAACATGGTTCCCTTTGAACGGCACTACTTTGTTACCCGAAGTTCCGCTACCCCCTCTATAGTTTTTCGCATGTTTCTGAAATCCGGTTTTCCTTATTTTTACCATGCCCGGCTCGTGTTCCCCACAGATTCTAGTAATTCTGTCGGAATCTTAGCTCCACGCATCATTTAGCGGTAGTTATTTGCTCAGTAACTACATGACTCAAGTGACTAACTAGATTAGGCAGAGTTGATGTGTAGGTATAATCGCCAAGCCGACCTCTTAGACTTGCGCGAAATACCCTCACGTCTTCGAGAAATACACTCATTTGCAAATCAATTTGGTTTTCACGAGAGACTCAACTGAATCTCTCGTTTTTGATATTCTACAACTGAATGTGCCGCACACAGGCCGCCTCATTATTCAGCTGACACGATATTCGAGATATCGCAGTATATTTTCGTAAAGGAAACTACTCACAAGGTTGCTGAAAACTCTTCGACAGAATATCATAAACGAGAAATTTGGTTGAGCCTCTCGCGAAAACCAAATTGATTTGCAAATGAGTGTATTTCTCGAAAACAGTCCAATTTGGGTTCAAGTAGAACATAAGGTTGACGGAAACTCGGTGACTGCGTCTACCTGATGAGCCCAAGAAGGGCGAAACCGGTCGTGGGCTGTCAGAGTTTTCAGCAGCCTTGTGAGTAGTTTCCTTCATGAAAATACCCTTACATCTCTGACACCATTCTCAGTGCTGTACTGCAGTGCCAGTCATACTGTCATTTTGTTTCCTCATACTCTCAATCTATTTTAGAATAGAAACAATAGGACCGGTTGTCTCCAAGTGAGGTAATTTGCCACAGTTTTCAACTGACTAAACGGGCTATATTTTCGATTCTCATTGTAGGCTCTTGCCGAGGACCTTCGTCAGTTGCTACAACCGAAGTGTGACGGAGGGCTGTTCCTTTGCCAAGTGGATGAGGCTACAAGGCAGATAAAGATGGAGGGGATCTTCTTGGAAGAGGTTAGCAGCTTCCTGCTTAGTTGCGGGTTTTGACGAACCAAACTCCCAAAACAAGTGTACATAGAAAAACGACAATGTAGTGTTTTTTCATATATTTTGCAAATATATACGCGTTACACAGCACTAGGATTGTTGAACCACAGCTTCATCCCACGGTCCGTGGATGTTTCTGGAAGGGAAAAGGTCAGTTGAAACGCTGTTTATCATTTGTCTTCGAATAAATGAGCATCAAGATGCAGCTTCACGACATGTACTTTCCCTGTCTAGGCCTGAACAACCTGGCAGTATTCCAGCCCTTCTGGTGGCGTGGCAGTTAGGCATCGAAAGGGTGCTACAACTGGACGATTTACTCCCTTTACTCCACATCCCACGATAAAATTACAGGACCACTCATGTTTCCCAACATGGTCCCGACGGAACGGAATTCATGTTTTTTTTTTGTCGTTGGACGAACGACAACATCAGAAATCATTCAGAGTTTACAAAGGTATTACTTTGGACAATCAGAATGGAAATATTGATCGGGGTAGCAGGTGATGTGAAATCGGGGCGAGTTGGACCAAGTGGTTAGAGCGCGAATTTACTGACCGGAAGGTCCGTGGTTTGAACCCGACCTCTGCCTCTCGACTTCCCCTGTCTAGGCTTGGGCAACCTGGCAGTATTCCAGCCCTCGCGCATCCTTCGTGTGGCACGGCAGCTAAGCGCCGAAAGGGTGTTACAGTTGAACGAACGATATGAAACCATAAGGCCAGCACATTGTGTCGCCTCTTTGAGAATTATTTTGACGACACATTCTCCAGTCAATTCGCTTAACTGATGACACATGAACTGATCAGCACTTCTCCTAGGCACACCAACCCAGAGCTTAGACCAAAGAGGTTCGCACATGTATTGACTCAGCCTTGTGAGGATGATATTCCCATCCGGATTGGGAAGGCCAGAGCAGCTTCCGTGAGCCTGCATCACCTGTAGCGTAGAGAACAAATTCTCCGCCTGGTCTTTGTTGAGAGGTGTAGACGCCACGTGAGTGGCTGAGAGCTGGGGGTGGTCGTGTCAGAGAATGGCCTATCTTGGGAGTAAGCTTATTCGAGGGACTACTATACACATGTGTACATATCGAATGCCAGAGCCGAACTTATTCGGTCGTGTTGCACTAATGTCGGAGAATATTGTGACAGCAGTCAAGCGGTTCCCGGCCACCAGGCCACCTCCCCCGCCAGTAATTGCTGCAGGACCCCGGACCGTCATGATCCGATCAACTGCGCGCAAACAATCGTGCACTAGCATGTATACGAAGCCGAGTAGAAGAAGCTGGAGCTACTTGCAGCTCTCTTCCCAAGACACTGCGAACTCTTATATATCATCATCATCATCATGATGTCGCAAATGCAGACGGACCCAGAATATGCTTTAATCAGCTGTCCTGAACCAAGCTATTATGTGCTTTGTCATCGTGCCGCTTGGTCGTACTGCCCTTGAAGGTCACATCATCGTAATACTGAAAAGTGGCACGTAAAAATGAAGCCTCAAACTGGTGTTCGCGACAAGAAACGAGGCGAAGGGGTTCCGGATGTGGAGAAACTCTGGATAGCTCTGTCGCATTTACTGAATTGTTGTACCTGGATGAACTGAGGATCGCGCGTCGCAAAATCCTTCAATGAAGCGATCACGTTTACCGCACAGCTAGATAACGTCCTAAAAGTTCAGCTCTACATCATGTGCATGCCAGCGGTCGATGGTCTTTCTAGATTTTTCGATGAAATAGGTTCACATTCGCGATTTGACAGCTTCAAACTAGGCTACGATCTAGCGGTCACTGAGACCGTCATATACGACTAAGAATCGAATCCATCATCAGCTTGGAAACGAGTATATTGTCTATAGCTGCCGCTCTGCACGAAATCACCAGAATGAAACACGTTGGAACTTAAAATCCAGTCCGAATAAATCATAACACCAATAGAATTGGAAGTGGGGGGGTTGCGGGCACACTAATCACATCGCTCAAGTGCGAACACGTCCGCCCGTTCAGACGTGAGAATTCAGATGCGTCCAACGTGCGCTGGTAGAATAGTGGTAACACGTTCGCCTCGCAGGTGTTCAGAGTTCAAACCCTTGGACGGCCATTGGATATGCACTGCTGATGACCTCTAACAAGAGCGAAACTCGGGTCCAGTGCTTCCCTCCTTTGGTGTGAATTCACATGAATAACTGCGCCAGGACAGGAGGACGACTATTCAAAACGAGAGTGATGTGAAACTGAAACTGAAGAACTGGAAGTGACAAGGTGAATTGCCCCACGTTATGAACAGTCGTCAGTGGCAGCAGTACCTTACTTACGAACCTGTTCGCTACTTGGGATTTATAAAAACGGTCCTGAGTCTCTCCGTCAATCCAAAACAAAGTGCTGCTGGCTCCACACGGACGGACGAACGCTACTTGGGACGGTACCAGCTATTGTCCTGATAGGTAAATTGAGACGTTGGGTGCTGACTCATTAGGAAAGTTGCCAAATCAGATATTATTTCACCACTGCGATATGAGCCAGTCACCGAAGAAATAACAGTTGGATTGTCTGTTCTGTCATCTCCGGTGTGCAATGATTTATGGCAATAGTCTGCGTTAGTGTCGTTCGACAAGTTAGCATCCGGTGATTTGATACAAAGTACTGAGCGGACTGCCGATGACGTACCCATTGACGCTGAGTTTGGCCCGGACGCATGTACATCCAAAGCATGTTCCATCGCACATCAAAGTTGCCTGTCAGTTCTGCAAAGACTGAAACTGCATTTGCCGTTTGGCACACTGAGGCAAAATCAATCTCGCCACGGATATCACCGCTGACAGCAATACGAGCACAGGTGTTCCATTGCCATATAAAAATTTGAAAAAACCGTTCAACCGCCGCGCCCTTTTCGGTGCCTAGATGTCATGCCACCAGAAGGAAGCAGGAAGACTGAAATACTGCCGGGTTGTCCAAGCCTAGACAAGGGAAGTCGAGAGGTAGAGGTCGGGTCGAGCCACGAACCTTCCGGTCAGTAAATTCGCGCTCTAATCACTTGATCCACCTCGCCCCATGTCAATTCATTGGGTCATCATCAACATCATCGACAGCAAGACATCAGTGTTCAACACTGATGCTTCACTGCCGTATTTGGATGAAGCTTTGAAATGGAACGACAGAAAATGGCACAGGGGATCTAGGGTAGGCCTATCACACTAAGTCACACACGGATGAAGCTTTGAAATGGAACGACAGAAAATGGCGCAGGGTAGGCCTATCACACTAAGTCACACACCCTCCCTATGGATAAAAGTGACCGCAAATTTCACAGCATAGCGGCTCTTTGAAACAATGAAGTTGTAAGCTTCACCAGCAGCTCATCAGCCTCCTCTTCACGAAAACATGCTTTCGAGGTCTGACACACGCACCTCTCCTTCAGACGCATTCGGTAACACATTCGTGAGGGCTTCTATCAGCATCACTTTGCTCTTACAAGATGCTCGGCCAAGACAACAGAAAACTTCGCAAAACTGGTAACCGGTTTGTCTGACAGGCTACGAATTGCTTACCTCTTGATCCTCTGCATGCGAACCAAAACCCACGGCCCGATGAAGTTTATGAGGACGATCAAGGTCAGGTTTGCGACGGATATGAGAACTCTGTACTCCATTGGAGCTTCATGATAGACGATGGGCCACAGGAACGTGTTGGAGAATACAAAAGCGAAAATGGTAAGGCACAACTGGCCAGCCTTTCCGGCGCGAACCTGTCAACCGGGAATGGAATTTGCACCATGGTAGATAAAGACAATGTATAATGGATATACGGAACCACAACAAAGTAGCCTGAATAACTCGCGAAATGGCTTGGACTACCAAATTGGCTACGTATCTTCCACTAACCACTGTCCGATTCTCTGGAAAACGCGCGGTTATGCGGTCCAATTCACAAACCCATAAACCATAGGTGGCGGCGGTAGTTAGACTTGGAGGTAGAAAATCGTGTAGCATAACGCTTGTATCTTTCTCCAGAAATGAGGTTTATACATTAACTGCGCATGAAATGAAATATTTCTCAATATCATAAACACCAAAGTGCATTAATTCCGCTGCCAGAAAAACCGAACTGCTGAAGCCCATACGCATATTTTGCTGGCTTTTTGTAAATTTGTCATGTACATGGGGGGCACTTTTCCTTGAAGTAACTTTCCTTTGGATAGTTCAGTATTCGTAGAAAAATCGTTCAGCTGTAGCACCCTTTCGGTGCCTAACTGCCTTGTCGCACGAAGGAGTCACGAGGGCAGGGATATTGCCAGGTTGCCCAAGCCCAGACAGGGGAAGTCGAGAGTATTAATCATTGCTGACGGGGTCAATGCTGTCGCTCAAAACGGGTACATTCATGCACATTGAACATCTTTTTCTCGACACCAATGTAACCTTGGCTAACTACAATGTCCCCATTCTTTGTAATGGAATTTCCAACGGCACCCGCCTTTGTGATTGCCTTCAGTCTCTAGGCTTCGCTTCTCCGCATAACTTCCACTCTCTCCACGAAAGTGAGAACTTCCATCCGGGAATTCAACATTAGACACGCTGTGGCAGCTAACAACACTGTCCAAGTCAGAAGCTGAAATGACCGATGAAATCGAATCACACGTCAACCGAGTGCTATTCATCACAGTCACACCTAACGTTGTCAGCTCAACTGTGTGGCATTATGCCGCTTCTAACTGTTACGAGGATCATGCATCGGCGCCGCCACAGACTTACCCAAGAGCGATCGAGGCGGTCGAAACATACCCACTTGGCAGACACAGAGCGGAGCGATATATGCAAGATTCTGCTTCGCATGTAGCCAAGGAGTCTACTGGGATAACTAGCGAGAAAGATGCGCCAGTGTGGGCTTCTTACTCTTCGTGTCTATCTGTTTCTACTTGAGAAGTTGTCAGATGGCTTAATCTAGCTTAGATGGGGATGTTAGCAGAACTCCACTATTCTAACAAGAAGTTACATAAACAAGTAGAAAGGTGGACCGGAGATATCGTACTTTGAAGCCAAATTTACCGGTAAAACTTGGGAAGACATTCTAGGAATGCAAACGTTGACTGTCGAAGATGGAGACGCTACAAAAATGGCCACTTGACTAGGTAGTGGAAATTGACTGCTGTCTGGTGACACTGACTTAGGACCATGCTGTCGGGGAACTTGATTTTGATACATATCCTGTAGGGTGGGTCATGTACGATAAGCTGGTACCTTGAAAATGTTGCCTTATGAATTTCCTGACTGTTCGAATAATAGCATTCAATCTGACGAATGTCTTTTCCTGCTTTACTGTGGCCCATCTAGCAAGAGGATAGAACTCTTCACTGCATCGGGGACAGTCTCCTATGGAATAGCGATCAATAAAATCCGAAGCGTTAATCCGTGCTCGCTGTGGTGTCTGTTTTCCACCCGAATACTTTCGGGGCATCCCGCAGGGAATGCCAACAGCAGCCCCATCTGAAAGCACATAAGGCTATAAGCAGTAAATGCTCTGCTTTCTCACTACCAATTGGTCTTTGACATCTATTGCCCACTTTTGATGCTCACAGCTCCTTTGACCTGGTTTAGTCCTGCTTTCAAGTTGTACGGTTTTAGCGTGACATTAGGTATTTCGCATTCGGATGAGAAACACTTGATGGACACTGGGTGAAGCTCCATTCCATAGGTGTGACGAAGAGTAAATGTTCTTGGTAGGGCACCCATTCGGGAAGTGGGAGCCAGTGCTTCGATCAAGTATCTTAGAAATGCAAACAATTGAATTTTTTTCATTATTTCACACTATTTCAGATAATCTAAATACTTTTGCTTCGCACCAGAAAAGCATAAAGTACCACCGCAAGACTGGATTGGATCGAAGCCAAGCTGCATGCTTGCAGATAAGCGAATTGGCGTGCATTCGTTCGTCTTTCTGGGCAGGCACATAACTCGCGGCCGATGGACGGAAGACGAAAACACCTCCCGAAATGGGAAGACCAGGACAGCGCTTGCTAACCTCTGACATTTGTGGCGTGACACCAGGTTGGTTGTCAAGATCAGTGTTGCAGCTCCATCTGTCCTACTTAATAGATCAGAAACAGCCACTGCGTGCAAATCCAAGATTCTGTGTGTTTGGGCACCGATGCTTCAGAAGCCTTGCGCGAGTTTGGTGGGTATACTAGACGTTTCCTTCGACAAATCAGCCAGCCGCACTCCACAGATTACGCTGACTAGACCATATACTTCGTACACCAGAGGATCGTTTACCTTCCAAAGTCCTATTCATCGAGCCGTGTATCGGATGGAGACCGTTCGGGAACCACCAAAGAAGCACGATCACTCTGTCGCGTCGTTAACCACGTCTTCCCGGATAGGAACCCCGGGACGAGACAAACCAATGGTCAGTGACGTTGACATACAGAGCTTTCGCGCAACAAAGGTCAACCACGTGTCAAAGCTATCACCCTCGTCGTATAACTCCCTCACTTCAGAACGAAAAAAATTATATAACGCCAACAAACTGGTTGGGTCATAGCCCCTCCAACGCGTTGATTTCGCTTCCTAATTCTCATCATCTTCGGTGGATGAACCTGCAGCGGCTGAAACCGCTGTACTTTAGTCCCTAATTCTCATCTTCGGTGGATGAATCTGCAGCGGCTGAAACCGCTGTACTTTAGTGAACTGCTACAAAAAAACAGACTGACTGTTTGCTAAACAAGTGCTAAGCTCTGTGAACAGACGTACAACTAATAGGCGCACGCGCGCTATCAGTATTTCGATGAACCTCTGACACTTCCGCAAACTCATTCCCGGGATGTAAGTGGAGCCCGTAGATAACTACGTGGTCGGTCACTAGCACCCATCGAAGCGCGGATGTCCCCCTTTGAATTGGCGTGAATTCCCCCTTTAAATAATATCACCTACTCGTTGCTTTTAATCAAAGCTGGTGTCTTCCTGTTGCAGATTTTATTGAATCCTAGCATGGGTTTCTATCCAGCGTAAAAATAAAAATGAATCATTCAGCTGTAACACCCTTCCGGTGCCTAGCTGCCATGCCATCCGAAGGAAGCACGAGGGCTGGGATACTGCTAGGTTGCCCAAGTCCAGACAGGGGAAGTCGAGAGGCAGAGGTCGGGTTCGAACCACGGACCTTCCGGTCAGTAAATTCGCGCCCCAACCAGTTGAGCCATCTCACCACTCAGCATTGTGGCTGATGTTAGCCGTGGGGTCCGTATGAAACCATACATCAATGAGAATAGCCACGGCCCTTCAGTAAATTCGCGCCCCAACCAGTTGAGCCATCTCACCACTCAGCATTGTGGCTGATGTTAGCCGTGGGGTCCGTATGAAACCATACATCAATGAGAATAGATAGCAAACTGCTATAAGACTCACCCTGATTACTTGAACCAGCGAGGGCCATAATGCGAACAAAACGGTTCCTGCAGCGATCAGAACGAAGGTGTGATATGGAGTTGGGAGACGGCTGGCCAGACAGAGAGCCGCTAGCAGACTTGAGCTGAACGCTGTTGTATTCGACCCGGGCTCATAAGCATAATCAGCCAGTTGGGTAGTGTAGTCGGTGCACGCCCAGTTGAGTAGGAAGAAAAGGCCGGCCATCGCATAGATACTATCCGTGCTAACCGTGGCCAGAAGGGAATGAAGAATCGGTGCCAGAATTAGGCTGAAGGTGAAGATGACCAGTCCAGTTCGGATGTGGAACAGTGCTGCAAAAGACACAAGCGTGTTTTGACTTTCGTGCAGATGGGATACTGCTTGAGCAAATGAGTCGTGAATGGTAGGTTCAGATAATCAGAATAGGTGGAAAAACATCTTCGATTACTTTCGGAACTGCTGCAAACGGGAAGTAGTCTCTCAGCAAGCACTGAAACAACCGAACTCAAACGATGCTCCTTGTCGGGAGGGATTAGTGCAATCAGTATCCTTTGGGAGGGTCACACACTTGTCCAAATTGTTGTGGACTATCTGGAGGTCTCTCCTGAGTGACTACTGCACGCACTACACACATGACTTTTGATAACGCACGTGTATAGAAAATGACACTCATGTGTTATACAAGAGCTCGCTAAATATCCCTACGCCAATATAGTCCCGACCAGATTGCGTCGGTATCGAATAAGTTAAGTATAATCTATGTCGTGCGATGATACGACCGGATGACAACGATCATTTCATGGGGACAGAAGCTGCAGACGAGTTAAGAACCAACGCTTTTGCATACATTTCTAGCTTATGCGGTTAGTCACTAAACTGAGAACACGGGTCTACATCTGCGCTCGCTGTGGCTACCAAAGGTGGGCACCCATTCTCCAAGTTGACAAAGAAAGTCAACGCAAACGTCACGAAGCGCAACTGAGCAGTCACTGGAGCACCGCGATTATGGCTGGACAGGGAGTTCCTGTAACAAATTGTAGTCAGCAGCAACGTAAGCAACGATGCAAATTTGTCACACAGCGCAAAGTGCACACAGACTTCCAATCAAAACGCTTCCAGAAAGGGAATCGTAATCAGTTTCATACCCTTTGGATTACTGACCACTGGTATTTCGCTGAAGTCGGTAGAGGCCGATTGTGCAATTGGGTGTGGGGGTACATCCCTACTTGGCATCCGAACGTCTGGTTTTTCAGATACTCCGCCTGTGATTACCCAACGCCTCCGCGTATCAGCACATAGAAGGCAAACCTCGCTGTCGCACAGCACAGAGATGGCACGCACCGACGCTAGTGATCGCGGTATCTGCGCAGTCCTAAAGCAGAGGAATGGAGTTATCGAATACGCCAGTCGTGTCCTGACTAACGCTGAACAGAAGTACTCGACTATTGAAAAAGAGTGTTTAGCGATCGTCTGGGTTCTGGATAAGTGGAGGCCATATCTGCTTGGATGAAGATTTCATGTCGAAACCGATCACAACCCCCTGGAGTGGATCATGACTACCAGAGATCCTCGCAGAAAGCTCGCGCGCTGGGCCCCCCCGGTGCAAGAGTACGACTTCGCGATCCAGCACTTGCCAGGCAAGGAGAACCTCTTGGCTGATTGGTTGTCAAGACCAGGGGCTGAAGATGAAACCCCCAGGATCATGATTGGGACCAATAGCCTCGTCGTCACACTGGATCCCGGAAGGTTGGTGCAACTCCGCAGCGAAGGCCTCTTTTCTTTCAGCCCGCAATTTGACCGCATACACATCACAAGCAGCGTAAATTGGAGAAGGTCTTCCGAGTGATTACGCAAGCCGTCACACGTTCAAAGATACGAAGAATACGTAACACCTTGGACCCCCGCTAAGTGCGAACATACGGGGTATTTCCTTAGTATGGCTGCTTGAGTTTTATGAAGACCACGTCAGAAGGCGAAATGCTGGGAAGTACCTTCAAAAATACTTGAGCCAGGCTTGTGCGGATGAGTGAAACACGATTTGCATTGTGTTGCAAACAGACAGAAAAACGAGATTCCAAGCTTTCAGTAAACGAACTGTACAACTGGTTCCATGCTCCCACCAGGCCTGGCCAAAACTTGACGGTCAAATACGGATAGTTTTCGTACGTTTACACTGAAAAAAGTCGTACCTCTGGTCCATAAAAGTGTGGATGGCATGAATGAAATGCATATTACGCTGAGGGCAGAAACACTGATAACAAACTGACAACATAGTTATCAGAGGTCACTTCAAGCCGCCCTTCCCACTTGAAAATTTCACGGTGAATGATCCAACAACCTGTGTATCTGATTGCCATCTCGATCAGCTGACCTGAACAACTGTGACGCTGGGGCCTACACTTTCATCATCATCATCATCATCATCCCTGATTGCCATCTCGATCAGCTGACCCGAACTGTGACGCTGGGGTCTACACTTTCATCATCATCAGCATCATCATCATCGACACCATGACATCACTGTTCAACACCATTTTATAAGTAACTGTTAAATAGCACAACAAAATTATTCAAGTCACTTAGAGAAGGCTTCAATCTTTGAATTAGCCTACCCAGTACCTGTGGGCAAACTCTCCTGGGACATGTCAGCTACTGTGAGCTTTCGGAAGCGGGTAGGCACTTGGATAACAAAGGTGAACAGCTAATGTGAGAGAAGCTAACTATATTTCAATGACCGGATATAATGGGACCAGACGAAAGCTTACCGTAGATCCTACAGCACCATGACTATGCTACCTTTACTGAAGGCAGAAATTTGAACGGAATGTTTTTGCTCTCCGGACCCTGTCACAACTTCTGGCGATAGTTGGAATCGAAAGCGACTTTCGTACGGGCAGACAACCTTAAAACCGGATAATATTGCTTCTTTCACTGCCTTCCACTCGCCTCCTGAGATGTGCTTCTATGAAGTTTCTGTTCTGCTGAGGTTTTCTCAATACTGTTGGTTTACAGAAACGCTTTGAGGACGATAAATTGAATGACTTCACTTGTCTGCTTGGTTCTTTAAGGAACAGAATTTATAAGCGGGCACGTTCAATCGGGTCTCAAGCTGTATAAACGAAGTTTGAATTGGAGCTCTTCATTGATAACTGAATGCCGCATGGTCCAACTTTTCGAATTGCTAACAAAAGTTCACAGAGTAAAGGAACGCTCATAGTCAGGGGCTCTCTGTATGCACGGTGGACAGTGAATTCGTTGAACCACAGAATTGTCAGTGAACCGTGAAGAAAAGAGCTTGAATAAGTGGGAAAACAGAAATAAATAAATATACAAGGGTGGACAATGGTGGAGATTTGGACGAAGATTTGAAGGTCATACGAGATGGGAAAAACGGAAATCTGAAGGAGATTCCACAGGCGAGCAGTTCTGGTGGTATCGGGTGACCATAGAAGCGGCATTGGGTGATCGAGCAAGCGTAGCAGTAGTATGGAAGAGGCGAGTTCACTGGAGGATGTACCGCAGTAGCGGTGAGAAAATAGCGGGAGATAGCCTTCACTTCGACGGTGAGTGACGGTCGGTAGGGTATTGCTGAATAGAGTTTACGAGGGGAAGATGTAGAACAGTATAACCGCAAATAAGATGCAAGCATTGCAGAGTCGGGAAAATCTGAGACTCGTACAAAAAAGTTGGAAGCGAGTGGAACATTTACGATAGCGAAAAAGGAAAACCTGATTCTCTGGAGGATCGGGTTTTAATCACTTTCCAATGCGAGGCCTAATTGAGAATGGTGTGAAAAGAAACCCTAGAAGTGAGTGGTTGGGTACTTGGAAGATTGCGCTGAAATCAATAAAGCGAATGGTTGGCAAACGTAACGGCGAACGAGGAAGATAAGTGAAAAAGATAGCGATGAATATAGTTGTGTTCAACAAGTAAGGATATCTCTAAGATCGACCTTCGGTGTACTGTTGACGTGCATTCGGTCATCAGTCATCCGAGGTCTGACGGGTCTTTGAGGAGGATAAATGCAAAAAATTGGAGGACTGCATCACAGGAGATTGCGTTGGTAAAGCCATGAACAAACTAAAGATCAACACTAAACTGAAGAACACCTGCGTTCACCTGGGGAGTCCAAGAGAGCGCCGTCAAGACGTACCTGGATCGGTTGATTTGTCAGAAAGTCTCTGACGCAGTTCATCAAGCCAGGATGCAGTGCATACATTGACAATTTAGCAGTCAGATCGTCGCATCGTACTTGGTCGCAGGCTACCGACAGATCAATGCACGGGTCTAGCCAATCGAGTCATAGCCAGGTGACTCGTGTGATACGTAAGTCATTTGGCCCCCAGCTGGACGATGGCGTGTGTCCACATTGGCAATCGGCCAGGTGGCTGTTATGTCCCAGATCAAGTAAAATTGGTGTGGCCCCTGAGATTTTGACAAAACAGGGGTAATAAAGCTGGAGAGGTAGTTGTTTGGAGACGTGCTTTGGAATAAGGAGTATCTGAGAAATTCTCTAATCGGACGAAACTACACCGGAAGAGCGACAACTGGAGTGAATTCTAGAGCAAACGTACGGGGCGAAACGGGAAGAACAATTCAGACCAGGATAATTGTTCAGCTGTAACACCCTTTCGGTGCCTAACTGCCATGCCACCCGAAGGAAGCACGAGAGCTGGGATACTGCCAGGTTGCCCAAGTCTAGACAGGGGAGTCAAGACACAGAGGCTAGGTTCGAAACACGGACCTTCCGGTCAGTAAATTCGCGCTCTAACCATGAGCCATCTAGCTGAAATGGTGGGTATTGGAAAATAGCTTAGCTCCGAGATAGTAAACGGGACGGAAATTGGGGGAAAAACTGTGGAATTCGGGGCAAACAGTTGAGCAGATATTTCAGCCTTTTCTTGACGAAGCGAGATCAAAACGTGATTGAAGTCATTAACAGAACAGTAGATATAGCAGAAATTCGAACTGACTGATTCTAGAAATATGGGCTTCCAGAAGGCGTACTGGGGACGTGATTGAAGTCATTAACAGATATAGCAGAAATTCGAACTGACTGATTCTAGAAATATGGGCTTCCAGAAGGCGTACTGGGTAGCTGATCGGCCCTGGGATTGAAGGACATATCGTTATCCTCGTCGGCGATGGCAGCACAAGAATCGCGGGTAAGAACGTGGTCCGAAGGAGGTGAACAGATATGGGAACACCCGAGTTTACACATTCTGTTCTTTCTTCCAACCGAAATAAAGCATGAATGACCAAAGCAGCCAAAAATGGGGATCCATGGGGTTCAGAAAAGTGAAATACGAACTGGAGACTCTTGTCAGTACGTAAAACTTGAGCCGTAATCGGTTCGGGTGCCGCAATTCCACGGACAGGAGCCGTAGAACACGGCAAGACGGTGGTATGTGAGAAACAATGGAAGTAAGACGGGAAGACGTAATGGAACACCGATCGGAAAGATCGATGGAGGCAGAAAAGAAAAATCGACCACGACGATGGAAGATTTGTTAAGACAATGTACAGGGGAAACGTCGCGGCTAGGGAACTGGGATGAAAAGTTGATGGTCGCAAAAAAATCTGTCTCAGAACTGGCAGCGTCCGTGTGCGATGAGGAACCTAACCACCAGGGTTGCGGGAACAAAATTCAGTAGTAAGATAGTATTGTAAAATTCGTCCGCCGTTGCCGCTAGCTATGGAGTTACTAACATACAAACCAAAAAATTCTGTTTTCAGAAAGCGGTATTGTAAGCCAAATATAGTGAACATCAGGTGAACGACGGTCGAGGGAAGACGGTAAGATGTCAAAGCAGGAACAAACCCTATCCTTAAAACGGAATCAATGATGCAACGAGTAATCTAAAGATTGGACCGTTATGGGAAACCTCCTTTTTAATGAGGAAGAGAACAAATTTAGCGGAATCTGACAAGCGCTGATGTACTCAGCTGAAGCTCCCATTGAGACCATAGACATCGCGTAGAGGGGCCTTGAGGTTTGAAGAGAGTAGTCGATATTCACGTTTGCTTCATGCAACCCCGGGGGCATGAAGTGACGAGCTACAAAAGCCACATAGACTGATGGGTGATGCCTCAGGCGGCATCATCAGTCGCCTACCACCTGGTCCGTGATTGGTTTTCTGACGGTTACCTCCAGGTAACACGGTGTGCACCCTTATGCTAAAAGTTCCTACGTCCAGTGCACAAAATGAATAGTCGCTCCCCATCATCCGCGCAGTGAGCACCGATTTAAAGCCTCCCACTTAAATGCTTGGGACTCTCTGGTTGATTTGCACATTCACATCACCCTTCAAGAGACGTTATGCAAACATCTCGCCCATCGAAGGAATCAGGACAGGTATCGACCTTCCGAACTGAATTCTAACACCACAAACAAAAATCGTTTACCACGTCGAGCACAACTCAAACAGACAATAAATACGATTGTTTGCTGGAATCCAGTCTAACAAGGGGCGTTCTGTCTTAGGAATGAGAGCAACCTCAAAGCCGGAGGTACCACAAGTCACTGCATCAAGATGCTTTGGTACCCGAAGAGTGGAATATGGTAGGTCCGAGCTCGTCCTCACCGAAGTGGGAGGTACAACAGGACTGGGGTCAGGTATGAATTTCGGAGACACAATGCAAGCCACTGTCGTATATTTGCTCTAATCCTCAAAAGGTTTCACTGTTAAACCACTTTTTTCTAGTTTAAGCTCACTGTGTCAAAGTTTTGGATGAACAAAGCTTAACTTCTGAGCCCTCAGTCTTTTCCGTTCTTGAGCTGATTGCCGCCAATATGAGGGTCACCTTAAAGGCCTACACAGAACGACTTGGTGGTAGTTTTCTGACAGTGCCGAGTAATGCATCGCTGGTCAAGGTGATTTAAGGATCGATTTTTTCTAATATGCTTTGTCTACGGGTAAGTGGCATCACTGCTGCCACAAATAGGAAAATGCCGGCCACCCGTAGGGTGACTCGCACTTATCTCGCAGAAGACAGTACAAATCTCAGACGGACCCGTAAAATTACACATTGTAGTATGCGGAGCACTGGGCTCCGCCTGACTGCTTCCCTTAGGTTCTTCTGACAGAGTTAGAACCTATGGAACGAAGTCCCAGTTTGTATGAAAAATCGAAATCATTCAGCCGTAGTACCCTTTCGGTGCGTAGCTTCCATGCTGCACGAAGGCTGGGATACTGTCAGGTTCTCCAAGCTTACACAGGGGAAGTCGAGAGGCAGCGATCGGGTTCGAACCACGGACCTTCCGGCCAGTAAATTCGCGCTCTAACCACTTGGACCATCTCGTCCCGTATAAGGCACCGTTGAACGGAAACGATCAAGCCAGACCATCGCGCCAAGGTGGCGGCTATTGGCCGTGCTGTGAGGCTCTGAAACTGATAAAACGCACCCATTCTCCTCCAGCGTCAAATTGCATGCCATGTCAGCCCGAAAGAGTTAATTCGGTAAGTTGATAGTACGCATAACCAAATTGCATGCCACGTATAACACTAGTCAGCCCGAAACAGTTAATTCGGTAAGTTGATAGTACGCATAAGGTGCAACTCATGAACTTAACACCGAGACCCATCAGACGCACCGCTTTCGAAATCTAACCATCCCATTCCATACTGAAATTCTCTCTTTGGATCCAGTGTTTGATTCGACGCTTTTCACTATGAAAATTTTCAGACAATTGGGTTGAGGCAACGGCTGGAACAAGGGTAGGCATGAACACACACTTCACTTTGCGAAGCAATAATACTTACCTCGCTGTAGATTAACCTGCTCACTTGTACCGAAGAACCAGAAGAGAAGATATCCGGTTATGACGAAGAACATGAGAACTGTGCTCGCAGGCACTGGAGACACCCAATTGAACAAAAGATAGAAATAGAAACTGATGAACACTGAAACACTGAGAGGTAAGCCAATGAAGAAGTAATGGAGAATTACCAGCACAATTGTTGATAAATACTTCCGGCATCGATCATCACTGAAACCAGGTTGTACTTCCGAATGTAAACTGAGGTGAACAAAGCACAGACGTGAGTACACAGAGTGGGACTTGCGATTTTTTCTCAGTTCAGATAGAAAGTGTGGACTGACAAAGTTGTCCGGAACTCCCTGGTCTTTGTAGAGGACTTTCTCCCAACGTTGTTTCATGTTGACTAATTGAAAGTCGACACTCACCGGTTCCTACTGTACATGAAGTGGGCTAAAAGGAATAGAAAATTAGCTATGATACTAAGTCAGCAGTCGGGAAATCTGAACAACAATTCGCATGGCCACTTGTTGCCACTCAAATCAGATTCTTAAAAAGAACTGGAACTCTAGACGGTGAACCTAGAAACCCTGCAACCGGTGGTTTGAGACTACATGTCATTTCTCAAGCTCTTAGTCCGAATGATCTCTCACCAATATTCTTCAGGGATGGAAGTGAAATCATCTGGCAGTGTTTGTCTGATCTATTCTCTTCCATACGGAAAAAGCAAACCGTCCCATAAAACACTGCTCACTGTTAACCACAGAAGAATCAGCCTGACTTCCGTCAAAACGATCATTTTCATGCCACTTGTCCTTCATCATCTCGTTGTCAGCTCCCATCCAGACAGTCTGTATTCGTATTTGGAGGCGCAGTCACTTGATAATGATCGTGACGGGCTAGCGCCAGGTCCGTTCCCCGTCCATTTTTTCTTTTTTTCTCGTAATACGTTATAGTTGTGCATCAGTGCAGCATCACAGTTGAACACTGAAGTCGTGCCGTCATTTGTGATGACGATGGTGAGCAGCAACAGCAAGACCGTTATTCCGTTAAAAGTCTCCTTATGAAAGAAATAAAAGGGTATGGACAAGGGACCTAGCAATTGCTGTCTAGCCATTTTGATTTATCTGCATCGCCGGACACTCATTCCGAAAATGAGAAGCTGACAAGGATGCCAGCGACATCAACATCTTGCAGCGTCTCCAGCCATGAACAGCGGTCACGTTGAGCTACCTGAAAGCCACAAACCGCAAGTCAGTCATGGATTCAGATGGATCATTGGGTCATCGGTTGCCGATGGAGGGGCTCCATTAAAGATCGTCGTTCCTTCTCGGGCAAGCCGTTTGACTCCAATCATGCAATTGTGTGCACTAGGTTATCAGGTTACTTTCCTCTAGGATTACGCACGTCAAGTTAATCAAATCCAAATCAGTCCAACCAAAAAATATCGAGCTGAGCTTACTGGACAGCTACGCGAAGCACAAGTTCACGCTGACAGCGAAGGTAGGTTGGAAGGTGGGTAGTGTAGTAACGATATTCTCTTCAGCTTAGTTCTCGGTCTGAGCCTCCTAAGCTAGCGTTCACTTCGAAACGACCACCAAAGGTGAGAGATAGTGAAAGAAGCTATCCTCCCAGCCCGAAGAATGTCATGTTTTCCACGAGGACGACGATGAGTGACAAAGTGACTTGTCAATAGGTTCCAAACTTTTTCCAATCGACTGAGAACGGTAATTCCTTCGCGGAATCGCCGTTTTTAGCGATGAGCTGGAAGTTCAACTATCTTCCTCCGAAATATTCTGCCTGCCTCAGGGGCCCTGAGACACTCTGACGACTTTACTAGGGCCTTGGGGAGAAGATGAAGCACACGTGGAGCAGACTACTTCGGTCATGATCTGTCTTCGAAAAGATCTCAAGAACGCCGTGTCAATATCATGGCATCATGTAAAATGCACCTCAGCATTAGTCTGCGTGGTTCAACGATTGAGAGGGGAAGACAATAAGTCTGTTTCTCTATTGCCTACACATCTACACCATAGCTTCATTTTGAGACAGGCTCTCGATCGGCAATCTCCTCTCGAAAGTTCAATGTCGACCGTCCTGACAATGAGTGGCGGTTAAAAGTATTTCATTTAGACTTTTATCTAGTCCTCTATTAATTTATCTCTAAATCCAATGGCGTAAGACAAGTCTGCTCTTTCGCCACTCGACCCCAACTTTATTATTGACATGCTGGTTGGGACTTCTGTTTGTCTCTGAAACCTCGGGGGTCGAAATGCTCCCGGAAGTTCGTTCGGACATTAAGCACCGAGAAACTATAGCTCTACTTGGTTCATATCTTGTATAATGCGACCGCACGACTCGGTGTGTGCATCACATCTGCAGTGTAAAATACTGGTAAACGACTTGGTTGGAACAAGACTGGACCGAAATGGTTTATAAGTTAACTTACCTGGGCATTTGAGTTCGGGTGGACTAGCTGAAGATTAGGTCACTGTTCAATGTTAATGTCCGACATCAGTTTGTTTGTCAACCGAAGAGTATACTTCGAGACAATGAAATCCATCACGATTATCATCATGGAAAGCACGACATCAGTGCTCACCATGGATGCTTCGCTGCCGTACAAATATGATTTATTCGGAAACTTTATTGTGAAGAAATTAATAAGGATGGACGAGGAGGGACTTGGTGCTAACTTACTACAATCATTCTGAGGTGGCTACACCTCCTGAAACTCATTTAGGCAATCAGGATAATGATTGACAACAAGAACGCCACTGACAGCAGTTGGCAGCCATATCTTGCAGTGTCTTCAACCAGGCGCGCTGGGGATCACGCGGTTCGCATTTTGGTAGGCGAGTAGCACCGAGAGCACCTAATCGCCTTCACGCACCTCTGCCAGGTCAAGGGTAGGCCACCTCTCTGCTTACTCTACTCCAAACTGCGCACGGAAAACAGCACACACTTCGGTACGGCATATGCGATAAATGGTCTAACCAACGCAGCTCCTGGTGCAGAACACATTCTTCAAAGGGGTTCCTGTAGCACAACCGAAAACTTGCTTTCTAATCGCCTCATTATACGGACACCAACCCAGACGAGCTATGGTTCTGAAACCACGATTGTCGAACACTTGAAGACGTCTCAGTTTGGCTGCTCGAACAGGCCAAGTCTCACAGCCATACAACAAAACAGCCCGTATCGTAGCTTGATACACATCTCCATTGAGATTCAGGAATAAACCCCTGATGCCATAGGTATCTCCAATTAGCAAACGCAACCCGCGTTTAGGATTCGGGATTTCTGGCCCAAAAGCAGATGAAATCAAAGGTAAGCACACAGTGGTTGCTATGTCCTAGTAGAGTGTTGATTACTCAACACCTGATCAGCGAAGTGTGTTTCGTTAGTGATGACCAAATCCAGGAGGGATGGTTGTTGGCCTACGCGGTATCTGGTGGGTGCAACGACAGATTGAGTCCGAGCGCTCTGTTGAACGACTTCAGCAGCGCCGCTGCAAAAGGTCCGCTTGATCCGATGCGCTGGAGCTCCAGTAGTATACGGTGTCTGTCATTTTGATTGATTCATAAGTATTGGTTATGTACAACCTTGCTTACAAGGCTTTGGCTCATGAGCTTTGTCTCTGTCTTCCATTCACAGAAATTGTCGTGAACATCTGCCTTCGGAGAATCACTGTCCCCTGGTGCTTTCATAGCGTGCATATTTCACTCCATCCAGGAGACCTTTGCAGCGTTGAAGTCACCTACCAGCCGGAGATGAGTACTCATCTCCTACAACTTCACGTGAAGTCGTGGCTGGTGGAAAGTCGCTCAAGGTTTCGAATGAGGAACTGGTCATCTTCAGGGGGACTCGGGGGGCTAGGGTAGTCCACACTGAGAAAGAGAGAGTCGGACGCGTAGCGGGATTTGGATCCACAATTTATCGCAAAAAAGTGCAGGAGTGGTATTAGAGAGGACAATCGGGTGAGCAAGAATTGTTCTTCGAAGTGTTCTCCTCAACGGTTGAGGCGTTCCTCTTTGTTCAATATGATCTGTTCAGTGGATTTCCACACGGATACCGTTTTACCGATCGCAGTCACGTGCCGCTACGGCCAAGCAGGCTATCCCGCCCTGATTGGCTAAAAGATCGAGACGCTTACCGGTTCGGCATCTAGCCGAGATCTGACCCACCGAAGGTCAGAACCCAACAGCCAATCAGGACCGAGTAATGGCCGAATGCCGGTTGTCAGCGGTGCATCCTGAAACCGTCAGAATTTCCGGAAAGTTGCCACCGTCTACACTATATCTCGGGTTTGGACGTTAATGCACCTTGTGCACATTTGGTGGTTGTTTTGACGTTAACGGTAGCTTGGGCGGCTCAGACCGAGAACATAACTGAGTAAAATACCGTTACTACACGATCCTTGATGGATTATCTCACAGATTTCGGGGTACCTGTCACGCGGATCAACCGAAATTGTTTTTCTGGCATTATCTGCTTTCTGGGCTTCTTCCATGTCCTTGGCCTTCCGAGTCAACCAGACTGTGGTCAGTTCGCACGCTTATCTTCACTTGACATCTGGTAATTTGTCGTGTCAAGTTTTGCTCTAGACTAGCTGGGATACTTCCCCGGAATTTAGCAGTGGCACGGTTCGGTCTGACATCTACTGCTTGATTGCCACAGGCACGACTACCCGAGACGTGGGGGAACATTGGGAAAAGATGATTCTGGTAAATTCGTCTAGCACCAGGAACTGTTAGTCTCTCAGTCGCCAGGTAATTTTCAGCACCTTACACGGCCATGGAAAATTCAGTTTTTCAGTCACCGCCTGCATGGATGGAGGAGCCAAAGCTTAACCCATCAATGGTTAATGATACTGGCACACATGGTTGAACCCCAAGACGGCGCCTTCGCATCAAAACCATCGGCTTCAGTCCGTACCCTCTCGGTATCCCGTCCATTAAATTTAGACTGATTTGTTGCTGAAAGAAACATGTGCAATCACCCTCTATGTTTGGTTTCGCTGTCCGGCTTTGCGGCCTCCAGGTAGCCGAAACTGTAGCTGGAAGCAGAGCACCTCTGGTACATGGCTTAGAGCTCATTTACTGAAAATTTGGAACATGTGGTCAGAAGAAATCATGTTTTTCTGAGAAGTACGC